AGGCAGGCACAGCCGGTACTGCATAAACAAACCAAATATCGCAATTTCCCCATCCCTGCACATCCCCACTTCATGAAACATATCACACACGTCCTCATATACCATTCCTACTCTTCCATGATTTTTTCCTATTTTTCCAGACACATTCCCAGTCCCCACACACCAAATTCCCACGCCCACCCAGCAGTGCAGCCACACTCAGACTGGATTTCACTTATCTCAGCAACCACTGCACCGATTTGGACGATATTGGTACCATTGGAAACGCGCCATTTAGGAGTATTAGGATCCATGATTAGCCGGAGTTGATTGGTGATGGATAGAGTTGGATATTTTGTGGCTGGAAATCATTTATTGCTTTATTGTTTTCTTGATTATTGTTTTCCCTTCCTTTTTCCGATATTGTTTGTTGCCCATATGATCCACCTGAGCACATGGGACTCATCGGATATTTTCCTTCATTTTTATTTGATCATTTCTCATATATACCTGTACATGAGGATGTATCTACTTTTCCTTTGGACTAGAAACCACCGAGTTTGCCCCTCCCAAGCTAGTAGGGAGTAGTACGACATAGAAGACGACCAAGAAGCCTCTAGATTAGTCCTTGCCTTAGTGTCACCCAGAGAGGTGGGGTGAGAGATTGATTGGAGTACACCACACACTGTACCACACCGGACCATACCATATCACCATTACCCCTTTTCCCTGACTTGTTGGATACCAATCCAGTCCCCGTCCTTTCCTGTTTTCCTAGTGGGTTAGATCCCTAGCCGGCTTGCAGCGTATCCCCCTCATCCCTATTTGGACTGCTGCTTTTTCCCATTCTAGCCAGTTAGTCATCATCCCCACTTCCCCTCATCCTCCTGCCCCTCTGGGCCTCACCCTCCTTACCTCCTTTCGGATGTACCACAGGTTCTGCCCTATGACCTTCGGTACCGCTCCACTTCTGTCATCCCTTTGTTCCCGTTCGGACACCTTCGTTCCGATTCAGACCCCCTTTGTTTCCTTGTGCCTTCGCCCTCTCCATTATATATCAGCGCTTGTACATACTCGTTTTAGGCCTTTAGTCTAAAATCGACCTGAAATGCCCCCTAGAGACTTCCTGCTCGCCACCTATGAAATTAAGGACCAAATGGACAAACAGCAATGGCACAGTGCTCCGCTTGAGTCGCTGAGGCCAAGGTCCCTCCTTGCTAAGTCTCCGGTTCCCCTCCGGAATCATCCGCCCTTGCCCAGTTCTAACAAAATCCAAATTAAACAACTCTACACCAAATTACACCCAGACAAATTAAGAAATTACAATAGAGGAACAGCTCCGCAGGGCTTGGTTTATCTGTAAGTCAATTCTCAGAAACTTTTAGACTAACCCATAAAATAGAATTAGGCAAAACACTTGGATTGGTACTATAATTACAACAAATATTACTAGTACACTTCCCCATCCTAACTAAAGAACCAGGGAACAGCTTGGTGGTGGTCTCATTTGAACCTCCCAACTGACCTTCCTTTGTTCTCTCCTTCAACATACATCCAAGGTAGAAGCCGATGATGCCTTCTCATCAAGGATGATGAAGATGCAGGAAGAGGCGAAGGCAGCGCTAGAGCATGCAGCGGACGAGATGGCCTGCTACTATGATCGGAACCATGAAGCAGCCCCTACATACCAAGAAGGTGACCAAGTCTGGCTCAGCACCCAGAATTACACAACCGACCACCCAACCAAGAAGCTGGACCATAAATGGACCGGCCCCTTCACGATCATTAAAGTCGTTTCCCCCACCGCCGTCAAACTCCGGCTCACCACCCAACAAAGAGGGATCCGTCCAGTGGTATCCATGATGAACATCAGACCGCACCGCCCTGACGAAATTGCGGAACGCCCTGCCGACCCCCGCCCAGGCCCAGACCTTGTAGATGGAGAAGAGGAGTACGAGGTTGAGAAAATCCTAGACTCCAAATGGCTATGCCGGAAACTCCGGTACTTGGTAAAGTATACAGGCTGGCCACACTCGGAAAGCCAATGGCTCACACGCAACCACCTGACCCATGCCTCCGACATAGTCAAAAAGTCCATCGAATGCACCCCCATGCCCCAGGGAGGGAAAAAGAGAACCACCCAGCCGCTTCGAGGCAAAGCAGCTTAAGGGGGGGGTGATGTCAGGGCAAACCCTGCCTGACCGCCCTACCCTGCTTCCCCACTACCACTCTCCACTCCTCCTCCTTTCTCCTTTTCCCTTTTCTCTCTATTTCTATTCCATGGTCAATTTCTAACCCTGCTCCCCTGATTGCTGCATGTGCCATGTGCATTCCCACCTACTGGGCGGCCACCCCCAGGATCTCCCATGGAGACACCCAGGGAGGTGTGGCTGTGTGCAGAGATGATGTGGCTCTCTCCACATGACCCTAACCGAATGTATATAATAGCGCCTGGGGTGGGAACAGAAGAAGCAGCCTTCTTCTCAACTTCCCACTTCAGACTAAGTGGTCAGGGACGCTCACCCCATGACGGGATCACCACTACGCACAGCTGACATCTGTCCCACCGAGTCCCTCGCACTGGGACTTTGCCGCTTTCGGAGCTGTCCCTGACAGCACGGAATTTTTCACACTCCCTCAGATCTCTCATTCAAGACTGAGGTGATACCCTTTTTATTCTTCCTTGTATGCAAGTTCTGATTGTATTTACAGTCCATGCATTAGGTAAAGGAATAATAACTTAGATCTTTCATTCGAGACTGAGTCCACACATTAGCTTATTTAGTTTAGTGGGCTGTGCCCTGACAATGGTGCTTTAGCTCTAATATATTGACTTGATGTAAGGTGGGTGTCCTAGAACCCAGCTGTGAGTATCAAATATGTATGATTCACAGTGGGTAGGATGATAGTGACCTCCCTGGGTCACGTGACCCCCCCCTATATATATACATGGACCGTGACCTGACACTTGATCTTGACCCTTAGCTCTGACACTTGACAAGGCAACTTAAGTAAATATGAAATGAGGGCCAGGAGACAACTAGGGGGCACAGTGCTCTTTTAGAGTTGCTGAGGCTGAAGGTCCTATGCTCAGGCCTTGTCCCTTTGCTCATGGCATCATTGTTACGGGGATGGGGGAAATTCCCCATTCCTCGATCCATTCTTATAGTGGGAAGGCGAGAGTCATGTCTAGTTTGTACCATAACTGGAAGTGTAATCGATGAGTGATCCCAGTCTGACCTGGGAGTGGGCGATCGAATTCCCATCGATCGCGATGGGTGATGTAGTGAGCTATTAAGGGATTGATGATTGATAGTCGGAGATATCAGGACAGATGGGTCAGCCACGGATACTTGGCGCTCCTCAATGGAGCGTACCGTGTGCGAGGCCGCGACTGGTGAGATGGGTGAGAGCTTCGCGTAGTTGCCATCGGGTACTTGGCGTTCGCAGTGCGAACATACCGGTAGCGGGTTGATATCGTAGGCGTGCAATGAGGGCTGACTATTAGGGCCTTCGGTGACTTGGCGTTCCCAAAGGGAACGTACCGTTGGTGGGGACATATGATGAATGGCAAAGGAAGAAACAGACGGTGGATGGGCGGCTACTTGGCGTTCGCGTAGCGAACGTGCCGGCATCGAGGGTAAGTGGGCCTCATAGTGTTCACGATCACCCTGATCGTGATGGGACGTCGTATGTTGAGTACTGGGGGGAGAGCGGAGTGATGAAGACCCATAGGGTACAGGTTCAATAGGACGATACACACGTCGAGAGTCTTCGACTCTCGACTTCGAGTTCTCGCGGCGAGGGCCGTTAGAGGACTCGATATAACCCGACTTATAAGACATAGTGAGAGTTGTACAGTCACACAGGTTCAGTTGAGTCACAGGGAGGGTTGTTACAGAAGACGGTACACGAGACAGTTGTAGAGCAGTTGTTAGTTAGCGGGAACCGCCTTTGGCGGTTTCCGTACATGACGCGTGACTATCTACAAATGGTAAGGTCGTGGGAAATCCCGCGAAACACAAACAACCTCGGCCAGCACCAAAACCCCAATGGGGAAAGCTTTGCACGAGGGGGGGGGAAAGGGGTAGAACGGGTAAGGAGGATAGGGTAGCGGGATAGAGGACGGAAAGGAGAAAGAGGGGAGGAGCGATAGAGAGGGGAAGTCTTTGACCATGCGACGGATATGGTCGTTGGAGACTCCGTATCCGTAACAATCATGGCCAATAGAAGCCCACAATGGCCCTGCAATGGTCAACCCGCACAACCCCCAGTCCCATCCCTGGTTCAGTATCTAACAGTAACACACTCTAGGTACCCCTGCAGGGCTCTGTGGTTCGATTCCCAGAATGTCCATATTTTATGCATTTAAGGTTCCCAAGACCATGTGTACAAATTCCAACAGTCATGACTATCACTTTCTGGCTTGATACTGAAGTTTCCAAGTCTGGAGTCTTCATGAGCCATGAGGTTAGGGCCTGGGGTGGAAAGACATTTCATAGGATTGGGTATGGTGTTGTGCAGTTTTTTCTGAGTCCAAAAAGTTTTGCTAACTCAGAATGGATACACCTCAGCTAGTCAGTGGCATACCTTAGAGTATTCCCCAAGATTGTTGGTGCAATGGCACTTCCTGTGTGCAGGCATGAGTGAGCATGGACAGCATGCTTAAAGGGTAGAGAAGGCATGGCTTCCTTTTTTGGATCCGGCAAGCCCCATAATACAGTTCCACACTGCCCAAGTGGGCACACTTGAAATGGGGGGGGGTCCTTTTTTTGCGGGATTCTGGTCAGGGAGTGAAAGAGACACAGATTTCGATGTCATGAAGTATATTGAAATTCATAACTATGTATATCAACATTTGGAAACCGAGAAGATATAAAACAGCATCACTTCTACTTTCAGGTGCCACATTGGCATCAAAAGTGTTGAGAGGGGGATGAGCAGCAATGTGAATTTCGCAATAATTTGCACCCGGATAGTACCGGGATTTGAAAGTCGTCTTAGTTCCTCCAGATATCTCGTCAATGAGGAATAGCATTGGATCTGATCCAATCGGCTAGAGAGGCGACGTCGGCGGAAGCGATTTTCTCGGAAGGGAAGTCGTTGCGACCCTCATCAAACTTTTTGTAAAGAACGATAGCAGGTGGGGTGACGCCAGCCGCTTTGATGGCCGCCTCATCGGTTGTTAAACCGAACAAGTAATCGTCACGGTAGGCCTCAGCAACGGAAGAGAAGGCAGGAATGGGGGCTTCTTTGGTAGAAGTGGCATACGCAAGCACAACGACCTTATCAGCGACCTTGAATTCTTCGAGATTCTCAGAGGCAACAGTCGAGACGGCCGGGAGAGATTGTCTGGTGTCCCTGTCAATAAACGAACAACATGGGCGCGTAGGCGCCAAGACACTCACTTGGTCATGTAACTGATGATGCTATCGGCTTCGCGAGACCCTCTATATGCTGTCGGTTTCCCCTTTCTGTAGATCTTCAGCGTTGGGTAACCTTGTATATCATTTTCTGAGCAAAGGTCCGCCTGATCAACGCAATCGACCTTCGCCAACGTGATGTTCTTCTCCTTTAAAGCTGTTGCAGCTTCCTCGTAGTGAGGAGCGAGCGCTTTACAATGGCCACACCTAATTGATCAAAGCGTCCAACCATGACCAAGATGAGGATGAGCAACCAAAACGTACCACGGCGCAAAGAACTGGACCAGTAAAAGGCCAGCCTTCTGCGTCTCAGCGCCAAAGTTGGCTGAAGTAAGGTCTATGACATCGCTGGGACCTTCGCCCGCTGCTACCGGCCTAAGTTCAGATCATGGAGATAATATTGTTAATCAGCATGTGAACCCGGAAAGCAAGAGGAAGGGTTGGTTGAGACGAGTATTTACTGCATACCGTGGAATGACAGTCCCAGCGATGGGCAGCGATGATTTTAAACGGGAAGAGATGCACATTTTTGAAGGAAAGGAGGGGTTGGAGGAACATCTTTGCTTTATGCACGATATACAAATGTACAGCCACATGCCACGTATCGATGTGATTGATCAGCAGAAAAGCCCACGCACAGCCCCTGCAAAATGTCGGGTGGCCCAAGTCCCATGGTCACGGAAAGCAGACCAACTAGCAAGTCTGGAGCCTCTCGCAGACCATACAGTGATAACTACGAATCACTTTCATATGTAGAAGGTGAAGAAATTGCACGTTTGCATCAGCTTGCAGATTCTCACGGGTCACCGACCACACTATCACGATCACTACTTCACACTAACCCTAAAACATTCCCTCAGCATGCCCCGCGAAGATCATGTGCTGAAGCCAAAATAGTTCACAAATAGAAAACCTACAAAACCCCCCTGAGATGAGCGCAGAAGGAAATATACACGTGATCAGGGCCTCACAAAAAATGATGGGAATTGATTTAGAAACCAGCCAACAACCATTGCCTACATGCAACGTTATTATGTAATAATTATTCATTTCATGTTGTCCCACAAAACCAAGATTATTAATTACCATCACAACACTTGTGTATTGTAGAACATGCTTGACATAGGGTTTTGTCAGGGACAGCTCCGAAAGCGGCAAAGTCCCGGCATGGGGGACTTGGCAGGACAAGAAACAGTAAAAGGGAAGACTATGCTACTTGCCTGAAGTGGGAATGTGAGAAGAAGGCTACTTCTTTGGTTCCCACTCCAGCTGTTATTATATACATGTGGAGTCGGTCACATCTATTGCCTAGACTCAAGACAGAAAAGAGGTGCTCTACCTCGTATTTACAGGATTTATTTACAATGTATTTTCCTCAAACTGAATAAAAATGAATTTTTCACGCTATAGTTCTACTGCACCTAGAATCCTTATTGTCCTTCCTCGCCTAAGCTATTTTAATGGTTTAATTAGAACTTGACTGCGCTGCATTTGTTGCAGTTTTCTATTTCAAATTCCTCATATTTACCATTAAGTTTGCTATGACTCAGTCATTCTGAATTCAAACTTCGCATTACTATGTGTACAGCTGCGCTGAGACCTTCAGCTGATTTATTCTATTTTTATCCAGTAACATTTAGTTGAAATGAGACTTGAAATGATAAATGAGTGAATTATTCAGGTTTAGAACCAAAAGAAAAAGTTGCTAGTAGTCAAGAATTGTTCAAACGAATGTGTTATAGCTCTCCGCTTCATTAGTATATCATTCCCTAAAATTCCCACCATGGTCTGTCATAGTTTAGTGGTTTTCGTGGATTTCATCCATCTCCCCTGATTCCCCTTTGTATTATTGCATCCTAGTCCTTCATATGTATTGTTCGTTGTTGTAGTAGCTCGTCCTCAAAGATATCATATTTTTATGTATTTTGTTTGGGGCTCTGGACCTCTAGAAGCTGTCTTCCCATGTGTTTTCAGGTTTCTAACTTCATGTCCTTGTATCTCATTCATTTCTGAATGGTTTTTCACGTTCTCAGCATCATAAATTTTCATTTATTCCCACCTTTCCAATGGTACTAAAGTTGTGTTCTATTTCTTGGTATTTGTCAAGTTAGCAAAAGCTCATGCGCACATTCGGTAATCACGTGCGTTGCAAGAGGGCTCGCGGCTCTCGATGCCGACTAAGCTTGTGGGGTCAAACTCTCCAAAACTTCACTTTCTCTCTAGACTTTGCTCAACTCTCGATCCTTAACTCCATGTGGTGAGTTCTCCGGGATTTCCGCAAGGTCCGGGCTCAACAAATCCACTACCCACTTGTTGCAGGCTAGATTGTTGCCCTTATTCCTACTGTTGGAATTCCACACACTCACATCCACTCTAGCACGTCCTAGCACCCTAGAGAAAATTGGGGGAGGGGAGAACTTCTTTTCAAAATCCAGTATGTACAGGATTATATCTGATAATTATTTTTAGAAAGAATAGATGGCAAATATTGGTGCCATATGGCACCTGGGTACCTTATTAGGCGAAATAATAAAAAAGGGTAACAGTATCAATAACTGAAATGATGGCAAAAATATGAAAATATAAGAAATAAGCGATATCTCAATGGATTTACGGAATTAAGAGCCTAAATTGGAAATGAGGCCGGAGATAACACTCATGCAGCCGATAAGCATTTTTACCAATTTATTAGTGGGAACGAGTGAGGCTGGAATTCTGGGTTGCCGCTTGAGATTCCCACACCTGCACATGCCTGTGCCTAACTTGCCCAACATAGAACTCCGTCAAATCTCCACCGATTGGGACGTTCTTGATATCGTCAGAATCGTACGAATTAGCACTATTTTTATATGTCAAATCCGTATCGAATTGTCGCATGAATGGAAGGGGTTTTCTGAATGGTGGAAGCGGGTATCTGAGCCGGCTCTGTGCATGGGCGATTATCCCGCCTACAGCATCGTTCCCATAGTCATTCATATGCAGGCACCATTTCTGTTTAATTGTTCGGGATTTATGGTATGTGCGGGTGTTTGTATCCTCAATACGGGCTTCCATGATTTATTTCAGATTTTTCCCTCATGATCTAAGGTTGTTTTGTACTTATCCGTGCTTTGTTTTGACCAGGGTCTTCCTTATTAGGACAGAAATTGGTCTTTGCGATCTGCTGAAGTGTGGATCTCAGTTCCAACGGCCGGTTCCTTTTGCATTGCCACCCTCATGTGTCTTTAAGCATGATGCAGATTTCTATATTCCTGTCAGGGCAACCACACCTGACCATACAACCCCAGAACCACCTTCCCTGACCTCCCCCCACTTCCCTCATCCTCCCATCTTTACACACCTTTCACAACTACAGCCTGCATGCGAACCTGCATCACATGGGTCAAGGTGAGCAACTCGCCTTAACCCATGTGACACCTTTTCTGCATCGCGGGAACATGCTCGGCTCCTACCCTTAGTCACGTTACAAACTGTACAGTACATTTCCCTTTTATAGTAGCCAAGTGGGGAATAGGGAAACTTACCCTTCTTCTCAACTCAATCCCTGCTTAGGCAAGTTGTAGCTACCTTCCATAATACATGACAACTCAATCCCCGCTTAGTGAGTTTGAGGAGCTTGGGGTAGGATCCAGCACCTGGCTGCCTGGGACACCACAAGTGTCCAGTTCTGAGGTAGGGCTGCCCCCAGACAGAGGCCGGGCCCTGACAATTCCCGTTGTTGGCGTAACTTCACAATGGCTGGACCGTTTGGGCTGAGACTTTGCATAACTATAGTTTCCTATTTATCATAATTTCCGTGTAAATCTCGTTGTGTGTTTTAAATATGGATCCTACGTAAATGTCTTTTCCCTGAGCCATGACTTTGATGTCGCTCATCCCATTATTGAATATCTCATTGATGCATGAACCTTTTATTATGAAAATTTGGATGGATTAAGATTAGATCCCTTCCTTTCTAATGGGCTATCAAGCTTGTCTCGGCCATTACTGCTTGTTCTTGTGCTTGCCTTTTAAATGTTGTCCTTGTTTTCCGAGAGTTTTGGTCATATCTCCATCGTTTATGGGTAGTTTTCCCTGTAATTACTTTCATTGGGTCCGTTTGGGAGACATCTACATTTCCTATTATAAACACGACTTTGAATTTTGCATTGGTTCCTAAGGAATCCTTGTTCTGTGGTACTTCCAACCTTGGCTACATGTGCAGGCATGGGAAAGTAGTTTCTGTGGAGGTTCTCTGGTTGGTTTTATAGTCAAATCTTGCTCGATTGTCCTAGTTCCTTGTTTAATATTTGCTATAAATTCCCCCGAGAATTCCGTCTTGTTGATGCTAAGCTTGAAGTATTTTTACTAATTTTCTTTCTTCCAATTTATTGTATGTAGTCGTAATAATTCGTTAAAATTCATTAAAATTCAGGTTCTTCTATATCTACTTGACATATGGGGTTTTTCGTGGTTTATCTGACATATTTCCATAATGAGTTTCCATAGGGTGACCATTATTTCTCCTACAGTGTGATTGTGTATTATTGCATCGTGTGCTGCCATGAGGTTTTCCTTCACCTTTTGGGTGAAGTCGTTCACTCCTGGGTAGTCCGAGGGTGGTGCTGTTAGGCACATCTTTGGCATGTGGCCATAGATTAATTTGAATGGGGCAAATCCTGTCAATGTGTTTGAGCTTGCATTGATTGCGAATTATGCCATCGACAGCTTTGCTGCCCAGTTGCATTGATCTGGTCTGACCATCACACGTAGTATCTGTACTACTTTTTGTATCATTCTTTCCACTTGGCCATCACCTTGCAGATGGAATGCAGTTGTGAATCTCAACTGCACACCGAGTATTTGGTGTAGTTTGCACCAAAAATTTGACGTGAATTTTGAGTCTCGATCTGATATGATCAAGTGTGGTAGACCGTGAAGTCTTACAACTTCACGAAGGAATACAAACACTAGTTCTAATGCGTTTGTTGTTGTTTTTATTGGAATCAGGTGGACATTGGACATCAAGCTGCAGATGATTACCCAGAGGTAATCATATCCCAAGCTTGTTGGGAATGGACCTGTGAAGTCCATGGCTATTGATGACCATGGTGTTTCCGGGGTCAGGAGTGGGTGAAGCAGTCTGGGATTTCTCCTGGTGCTTTTCTTTGTTGTCTGACAAGTTCTGCAAGACCTGCAGAACTTGTGGGTGTCCTTCCTCATTGACTTCCACCAGAAGTATTGATGGAGGGTTTCCACTGTTTTCTTGGATCCTAGGTGTCCAAGTGTTTCGTGGATGTTTTTGAGGATTATTCCTTGAATGGACTTCCTTTCGTAGTTCCCTTTCAGGACTACTATTTGGGTCGTCCCTCCTTCTCCAAGTTGGGTTATTAGCCCATCTTTTATGGAGAAGTTTTTGAAATTCCTGGGGTTCTCTAGGATTTCCTGGTGGATCTGGCTTTGCAAGTGTCCAGATTTTATTGCCTCAATGAGGTCTTTTCCTTCGAATTGTTTTTGAAGGATTATTTCTTCCAGGTTTTGGGTGCTC